CAACACCACCTGGTGATAGACCCAACACCACAGTTAGGGAACCAGATTACAACAACCCTGCAGAAATTACACACCTCTGGAAACATCAGCAAGAGAGACTACCCAAAAATGAAGCCAGAGGGATCCAACACACCCGACCTCTATGGATTCCCTAAGGTACACAAGCCAGGGGTCCCCCTCAGACCCACTGTCTCACTGCCAGGTACACCAACATATAGACTAGTCAAAGAACTACAACAGAAACTGAAATACTTAGTTGACAACACTATCCACTCCATCCACTCCTCCCAAGAATTCGTCAACATGATCAAAACACCAGAATAGAAGAGGACGAGATAATGATATCCTTTGATGTAACAGCACTATTTACATCCAGAAACATCAACCCGGCCAAAGAGACAATTGCCATACTGCTGGACAAATCAGGAACGCAGGCACCCCATGCTACCAACAGCATCAACAAGGACAGCGCCCTGAAGCTGCTGGATCTGTGCCTCACAACCTACCTCCCCTTCAGCGATCATATATTCAAACAAATCAACAAAACACCAGTGGGATCCCAGTATCAGGGCTGATAGCAGTAGTGATAATGCAAAGATTAGAATGGACTGTGCTCCCCACTATCCAACCCAAGCTCTGGGGCCGCTATGTAGATGACACCTTCGTGATTATCAAATGCAGAAGACTAGAAGAAACCCACGAATGCACAAACAACATCCTCACTGGAATAATATTCACAAAAGAAGAAGAGAACAACAACTGACTACTCTTCCTGGACATAATGTTGGAATGTAAGAACAACGGGGAACTCCAGACTAATGTATACAGAAAGGACACACATACAGACCAGGTACTTAATTACTCTAGCAACCACCCCAACACCCATAAATGGAGCTGCATTAGAACATCATTCAAACGAGCCACAACACACTGCAGCAGCCTGGAATTGTGCAAAGCAGAACAGGAGCGCTTACACAGAATTTTTAAAAGGAATGGATGCCCAAAAAGCACAATCTGCCATTACCTCCGCGACAGATCACAACAAGAAGACACAACACAGCCACTCACACTAATCACCCTACTGTACATCGGAGACATGTCAGAGATGTCCACAAGACTACTCAGACCCCTAGGTATCAGGGTAGCCCACAAACCAAAACCCACCCTGTGACAGCTCCTGATAAACGTAAAGGATCCCATACCCATAACCAATAAAACTAAAATAATATACAAAATACCATGCAAGGACTGTGAGAAACATTACATAGGCCAAACTGGAAGGAAACTGGCAATAAGGATACACGAACACCAACTAGCCACCAATAGACAAAACCAGTTCTCACTGGTCTCAATACACATGGACAAAGAAGGACAAAAATTTGTCTGGCACCAGCCAAACATAGACATGCCAGGGAACTGCTGGAGGCCTGGCATTCCAACCGGAACGCCGTCAACAAACACATTGAACTGGACCCAATATACAAACCACTGAAAAACAGAACCGGAAACAATACCAACTACCCCAGCAAACCGAGGCATATAAATAACAAGCGGGACAGAACACCAACGCTTCACTGGAGGCGCATTGAAGATGTTACCTAGCAGGGTGCCGAAACATCTACAATCAAACACACTGGCTCAGCGAGCAAGTCTGCAACCATTATGTATCACATTTTGTCTTAGATATGGTAAAATCCGAAAGAGCCCTTCTACTTGTTGCTTTGTGTTACTCGACTGTGCCCGCCGTGGGCCTGATTAAGTCATTCTGCTTTGGCAAATTCACTTTTAGCCAAATGTATGACCAAATTGGCATTTTGTAACTGAACAATTTATTCAAATGGTGTAAATGTTTTTCCCAGGTTTGGCTGAACAAAACCAAATATTCGGCGTAGATAAAACAGTTGCATTATAATTAAATAACTTTGCTAGTTAATCATTGAAAAGTTGCTGGTGGATTTTTCATTCCAAACAGCATGACTTTACATTGATAAAACCAATTTGCTGTTACAATCACTAATATTTCTTTGGCTCAATCAACTAATGGAATTTGCCAGTATCCTGCAGAAACCTTTTTAAGAGACCTTCTGGGCTGTATCTTACTCTTTTTTGGCTCAGTGTGAAGTGTTTTGGAAGGATTCTCATGTGAGACCAGCAGGATGTATCACCGTATCTTACCACTGTCATCTCACCACTGTCATCTCATTAACTCCTTACCTTGCCTCTACAGTATCCTTCACAACTGAATCCACTCCTAACTTACCACATGCCATTCGCTGAACAACTCGCCACTCAGCAGATAGCTACAAAAGACTGGCATCCCTTCACTCACACCATCTTTGAAAGGCTGCACTACACCAGGATAAATTTTGGCATTGCCCCCTCATTGGCACTGTAATGGCATAGCAGCCACGTTGGTCACAGCACATAGCTGACACTGCCTCACACATACAACCTTATTCTCATCCTAGTTGCTGTTTAACCAACTGACCACATAGTTTGCTTGTCCCTAGTTATGTCCCATTTAAACACTGTCCCTAAATCACCACTGCCCTGTCCCCAGTGCCAACTGGAGACCTGCAGCTTGCTCCAATAGGGGAACATCACTCACAGGCAAGCAATTGGATAATTCCAAACATGCGCTTTTATTTACAGCCAGCAAAATGGAACAAAAACAAAATAAATTTGACCCCAAAATGCAACTCAAATGACTAATGACTATTTTGTAATCCATGACGGTCTGCTACACCCAGCTCTCATTGATGGAGCCGGTGTCATGGGATCTGTCTAATGATAGTCTGGGGACTGGATAATCCCAGGGCATATCATCAGTCAGGTGCAGAGGTTGTCATGTGTGCGGGCTTGCAGATGTCTGGCTGATCACAGGCCTGGGGCTTGGCTGTTGATTTAAGAAAGGTGGTAAGGAAAAACCAAGGAAATATAGACTGATGAGCCTGATATCAGTGGTTGTCAAGTTATTGGAGGATATCCTGAGGGACAGGATTTACATGTATTTGGAAAGGCAAGGACTGATTAGGGATAGTCAACAAGGCTTTGTGTTTGGGAAATCATGTCTCACCAACTTGAGTTTTTTGAAGAAGTAACAAAGAGATTTGATGAGGGCAGAGCAGTGGATGTGATCTATATGGACTTCAGTAAAGTGTTCAACAAGGTTCCTCATGGTAGATTGGTTAGCAAGGTTAGATCACATGGTATACAGGTAGAACTAGCTATTTGGATACAGAACTGGCTTAAAAGTGGAAGACAGAGGGTGGTGGTGGAGGGTTGCTTTTCAGACTGGAGGCCTGTGACCTGCAGTGTGCCACAAGGATCGGTGCTGGGTCCACTGCTTTTTGTCATTTATATAAATGATTTGGATGTGAATATAGGAGGTATGGTTAGTAAGTTTGCAGATGACACTAAATTTGGAGGTGTAGTGGACAGCAAAGAAGTTTACCTCCGAATACAATGGGATCTTGATCAGATGGGCCAATGGTCTGAGGAGTGGCAGATGGAGTGTAATTTAGATAAATGTGAGGTGCTGCACTTTGGAAAGGCAAATCAGGGCAACAGTTATTTACTTAATGGTAAGGTCCTGGCTACTGTTGCTGAACAAACTACAGGTTCATAGTTCATTGATAGTGGAGTAGCAGGTATACAGGATAGTGAAGAAGGTGTTTGGTATGCTTGCCTTTATCAATCAGGACATTGAGTAGGGGAGTTGGGAGGTCATGTTGTAGCTGTACAGGATATTGGTTAGGCCACTTTTGGACTATTGCATGCAATTCTGGTCTCTCTCCTTTCTGAAGGATGTTGATGTTCATAAAGAGTTTACATGGATGTTGCCAGGCTTGGAGGGTTTGAGCGACAGGGAGAGGCTGAATAGGTTGGGGCTATTTTCCCTGGAGCAGCGGAGGCTGAGGGGTGACCTTGTAGAAGTTTATAAAATCATGAGGGCCATGGATAGGGTAAATAGGCAACGTCTTTTCCCCAGGGTGGGGGAGTTCAAAACTAGAGGGCATAGGTTTAAGGTGAGAGGGGAAAGATATAAAAAGGGACCTAAGGGGCAACTTTTTCACACAGAGAATGGTGTGTGTATGGAATCAACTGCCAGAGGAAGTGGTAGAGGCTTGTATAGTTACAATATTTAAAAGGCATCTGGACAGGTATATGAATATGAAGGGTTTAGAGGGATATGGGCCAAATTATAGCAAATGGGACTAGATTTCTGTAGGATATCTGGTCAGCATGGACGAGTTGGACTGAAGGGTCTGTTTCCATGCTGTATCTCTCTATGACTGTGTGATTGTTCAGGAGGGGGCAGGGTACCTACAGGTGCAAAAGAGGAATTATTGCCAAAAGAGCTAGGGGAGTCAAGGCTGGTGGGGAAAACAGAGGCATTGAAGAGATAACACAAGGACAGTGGCAAGAGACACAGAAGATATATGGGGGTGGGGGGTGGTATGCAGGTCAGCATTAGACAGCATGGTGGGCAATTGGACGAGAGAGAAGAAAAGAGCAGACAGCTGGGCATTATTAAGGTGAAATGTTGGGGCTTAGGGGGCAGGGAGGGCAGTCGGAGATGAAGGTCAATATGATGCTGCCAGACCTGCTGAATTGCTCCAGAATACTCTGTTCCAGATTTCCAACATCTGCACAGTATTGTGCTTTTATTAATGAGGTGAGTTGGGTCATTAATAAAGAATTTAACAAACTATAATGATATATGATTGGTAACTCACCACTGCCTAGCGAGAAATTAACCTCTCCATTTGGCAAAAGCATTTTAAAAAAGGAAAAATATGCTCTTGACATCGATAAACCTTGTCTGACTTCTCATCTGATTGTGCCACAAATGTTGCTGTAGCCCACTTCACTCAGACCTCGATAAGATTCTGCCCCCAACTTTCTAATGTCTGCCTATGTACACCAGGTACCAAACGCATCTGCCTGACTGGTGATCAGTTCCCATGCCTGCTGCTTTTTGTTCATTTGATGGTCAGATGTAGTTCAAACCCAAGAAAAGCATGTGGTTCTCCCTAGCACTGTCCCATCTGCTGTCAGACTTCATTGCTATCTGGGCTTAGTACCTTGGAGATGTTTTGGCTTCTCAAAATCATGATCTTTTGATCAGCTTTTTCAAACCCATACATGACAATTATAATTCTCTGATAAATTTCTCTGATCTGCAGTGATGAAATTTCATATGTAGAGTTTTGAGTCTAAAATAGTGGCATATGAGTTGCTTACTTTTCAAAAAGGTCAGATCATCCTTCCAAAACTAAAGAACTGATCATTGACTTCAGAAAGAAAGGAGGAGAGTATATTTCCATTTACATCAATGGAACGGAGTTTGAGAGGGTGAAGAGCATCAAGTTCCTCAGAGTGATGATAACCGACAACCTGTCCTGTACTTCCCATGTAGATGCGACAGTTAAGAAGGGACAACAATGCTTCTCCTTTCTCAGGTAGCTCAGGAAATTTGGCACGTCCATAATGTCCCTCACTAACTTCTACAGATGCACCATTGAAAGCATACTGTCTGGGTGCATAACGGCCTGGAATGGCAATTGCTCTGCCGAGGACCATAAGAAACTACAGAAGGTGGTGTACACAGCCCAGAACATCACGGAAGCCAACCTTCCATCCATGGATTCTATTTACACAGCTTGCTGCCACGGAAAGGCATCCAACATCATCAAAGACCCATCACACGCCAGTAATGATCTCCTACAAGCTCTTCCATCAGAAGCCTGAACACGTGCACCAACAGGTTCAGGAACATCTTCTTTCCAGCTGTAATCAGACTGATGAATGGACTCTCTAGCCTCAAATAATGCTGATCTCGCTAATGTTCATCTCACCTAGCACATGCCCTGTGTAATGTAACCTGTATGCCTCTATCTGTATTCTTGATCTGTACATCCGTTGCTTACTATGATCTGCCTGTACAGCTTGTAAACAAAGCTTTACACTGTATTTTCGTACATGTGATAATAAATCAATCAATCAGAACATTGACCAAATCTAGTATGTGTCAGAAAACAGGGATCCCTGAGGAAGTTGTTGGAGAGTTGTTTGTACTGCAGTGCTTTATGACGGAATGTGAAAAGTAAGTGTCATTAGTTTGTTTTTTTGTTCATGAATATCAAGGATTGATTTTTGCTTTGGAAAATTTGGAGGTTAAATGTTTTTGAGCAGTTCAGAGGACATTTGACTGGGGTCAGAACAAGATATAATTTTTCTCATTTTCTAGAAGTGTAGGACAATTCAGGGAAAGCACAGACTACTCCACAGAAAGATTAGTTTGTACAACTTCCAGGGCAACAGCCCAGGACTACGTGGTTACAATCTACAGGTTATGCAAAGTTGTGTAAATCTGACCTCTCAGTTTTGAATTTCAACACTCACAGGAGCAAATTTAGGAGAATCAGTTACATCAAACTTAAAGATCTGATATAGGGAAGTAATTTCTCTGGAATTGAATTGCGATAAAGTGATGGTGTTGGGAATACGAGACTTGGTTTCGCTGTGTTTGACGGTCTTTCAAACTGTCTTCTACATGATATGGTTGTTTCTGTTTCTTCTTTTCTGTAATAAATTGCTGCTCAGTTATTAAAGAAACTCTGCAGCTTTGTGTGACTGTTAGGTAAAATTTTAAAAACTGAGCAATCAAGCAGGCTTAATTCTGGGATCTGTCTTATCCAGCAGTAACATCAGCTAGGATCACAACACCGAGGAATAAAGTTTAAAATCTAACACACCCTTTGTAGGTTGATTAACCTGTCATTCAAATGGGAACAATACAGGTACATCAATCTTTGACAAACTTCCGGTATTTTTCTCCATGAGAACTTCTTGGCATTAATGAGGCAGACGGGAATAAGTAAAGATAAAGGTAGAAGAGATTAAATATGACAACTCCAGGATATCTGACTTTGCTGAACCATCATGGAAGGTTGGTTTTTAAAATATTATATAATAGCAATGGGGAGGTTTTTGTTTCCATGGGATGAGGGCATCACTGGCTAAGCCAACATTTATTGCCCTTCTCTAACTACCCAGAGGGCAGTTCAGAGTCAACCACATTGCTGTGGGTCTGAAGTCACATATAGGCCAGACCAGGTGAGGATGGCAGTTTCCTTCCATAAAGGACATTAGTGAACCAGGTGGATTTTTCCAACAATCAAATGGTTTCATAGTTATTGAGACTGCTAATGGCAGATTTTTAAAAATTGAATGCAAATTCCACCATCTGCTGTGGAAGGATTCAAACCCAGGGCCCCAGGACATTACTTGGGTTACTGGATTAACAGCCCAGTGATAATACCACTAGGCCATCACCTCCTCCACACCTTGCAGTCCTTAACTTTACATTGTCCAACTTGCAGGTCATTGTTCAGTTTCTTAATGACAAAAAAAACTTCTACAAAAGTTCAAATTTTGAAAGTATTTTAACAAAACATAGTGTAAAATGTAATGTTGCTGTTTTTGAAATACAGAAATAATCTTTATTTTGACACTGATTAAATATATACAAATAAATACAAAAATATAGTAAACTTCAGTTCTGTTGAATTGACAAAGTTAATGTAGTCTGAATGGGATGTAAAAATTACATCTTGATGCGTTAAAAAATGAAAATCGATCAAATGTGGCAGCAATATATCATCTTGACAATTCTGTGACATGTTCAAATAACCAGTAATGCATTTCCTATTTTGATGTTTGCAAGTATTTATATCATTCAAAATAAATCTGGAGCAGGTTTCTGTGTTGTTTTCCATTCAGTTTTTCTGTTGACTTTAGTTACATACTTGAAATGGGAGGAGTGAATGGAAGGAAATTGAACTCATGGAGTTCATCTGTTAGCTAAAATTGTGTCAGATACATAGAGTCCTAAAGAAAAAGAACTAATCATAAATCACTTTAAAAACTGTGAACACTGCTCCAAATCAGTGTATATTTTGCTAAAGTATGTGTTGCAAAAACAAACTATTTCCTAGTGTTTTATTAGATAAGAGGTAGATTGCTACCCATTAGGTTGAGATTTATTTCCTCAAATGAGGATTACATTTTGCAAAATGTTAGTCAACCAGGATATTAAAAGCAGATAAGATTGGAATAAAACAAGATTGACCTGAAAAAATACAATCTGAATCCCCAACTACAAGTCAGTTTCAGTTCTTTCATGGCTCATTCCATGTGCTGAATGCAAAAAAAACTGGACCTGTTGAGCTTTCTATTCCTGATGGCTTGATAGCTGCTCAGACTAAAATACTGTTTAAACGGAGGAAGGTGTTCTGGAGTGTCTGCAAGAACTTCCTACCATCAGCGGTAAACTGGTCTGTAGAGTTTGAGCATCAGAAAGCACTGTGTGGTTGCTCCTTACCTTTGCTGGCCTCACGGGAAATGAATTACAGGAAATTTGGAGTGGAAGTTGAATTTTTTAGACAGTGAGAAATAAGCCTGTTGGCCCTGTCACTAACGGGATTTGCTGTCAGCCAGAGTATGCAGTTAGGTTTCCCAAATTTCATTGAAAGTGTTCAGCAAATTGTTTGCCAAAACTCAGGCAGACTCAGAAAAAGAACTCACTCATGGCAGCATGCTTGGAAACGAGGTAAATCATAGGAAAACTACTGAGAACACAACAGGTAGAAAACATACAAAAGGGGGTCTGTTGATCTCTCTACCAAATGCAAAACTTGGATTCTGATCCTCCTATGCATAGGTTCTTTAGTCAGGCCCTGGTGAGTTGAAAGAAAGTTCTTTGGCCTTTTTGGTGGAAGCCAAAGGCAGGATGATGAGATTTGGAAGACTTCTTTTCCTTGCCCCACTCCCCTCCCTGCACCCATCCCACCCTCCCCACCTCCGATTGCACATTTGATGTACGGATCATAATCAGAACAAGCTGGATGGCATTTGCAAATTCTGATTGACTTTATTCTTCCCATAGGGTGGCTCCAACTGGATCTCCGAGTAGTGTCCTCCTTCTGTCACATGAGCTAGAAAGAATGTAACAAAGACAGTGTGATCTCTGTTCTATTTTATACACAATATCATTTTACACTTCTTGAATATGTTCATGAAAGTATTAGCGTTTTGAACAAGCTGTTTTCAACACCACAGATGCTTCCAGTTTGGATTACAAGAACTTGCACATGTTATAAACCTCTACAGGCTATCTGAACCTATCAAAGACAATAGAACTCTTTCTAGCACTCAATAGATCTTAACTCTTTCAGCAGGCCATCACAGAGCGATAGGTCAAATGACTTCTTTCTGTATGGGAGGGTTCAATGTTCAATACTTTGAAGAGATCAGGGTTCTGTAGGTGATTCAATCTGGAAAAATGCCTTTTAATTTGCCTTGACGTTTCATACAAACTTCAAATAAAAATGAAGTGTAACCAATTGGCAAATCTTTGTACCCAGAATCTTTATCAAATCATTAAATAATTCAAAACTGACATTAAATAGAGAAAATAAGTTCACAGGAATGTTCAATGTCAATATTAGAAATGCAGGTCCCTTTAAAAAGGCATAGACAGGTCAGCTCCAGAATTGATCAAGGGCCAGTGTTGCTTGTTGGATTTTTGGATTTTTGTATTTAAGAGTAGATCTCTAGAACTCTTTTGGCACAGGGGTAGTGTTCCTACCTCTGAGCCAAAATACTTAGGTTCAAGTCCCACAAGTTCCAGTGTGTGTAAAATAACTCTGAACAGGTTGATTAGAAAATATCTTAAGAGCGGAGTTCTGATTAGGATGATTTAATGGTGGGTTTACAAAAAAAAAAATATAAAATCGTAGAGTTCTTCTCTAAGCTTTCAGAGGGAGGTGGGCACACACGAGCTGGAGTGCATTATTTCCAACTCCATTTTGACTTAGCTCCTCCCACTTCCCCTACCCTCCCTTAACTTTTGTCGTTGTAACACTGCTGGGCAGCCACAGAGTCAGAGTCATGCAGCGTGGAAACAGACTCTTTGGTCCAACCAGTCCACAGTGACCATAATCCCAAACTAAACTAGGCCCACATCCCTCCAAACCTTTCCTATTCATGAACTTATCCAAATGTCTTTTAAATGCTGTGACTCTAACTGCATCCAATTTCTCTGGCAGTTCATTCCACATACGAACCACTGTGTAAAAAAAAAGTTGCCCCTCATGACCTTTTTAAATCTTTCTCCTCTCATCTTAAAAAATATGCCCCCTAGCTTTAGATTCAGAGGTCTACAGCATGGAAACAGGTCCTTCAGCCCAACTTGCCCATGCTGCCCAGTTTTCACAATTAATCTAGTCCCATTTGCCTACTTTTGGTCCATACCCCTCCATACCTATCCATCCATGTACCTGTCTAAATGTTTCTTAAAATGACAAAATTGTACTCGCTTCCACCACTACCTCTGGCAGCCTGTTCCAGGCACTCACCACCCTTTGTGAGAAAAATTGCCCCTCTGGACTCTTTTGTGTCTCTCCCCTCTCACCTTAAACCTATGCCCTCTAGTTTTAGACTCCCCTACCATGTGGAAAAGCTGTTGACTATCTACCCAATCTATGCCTCTCACGATTTTACAGACCTCTATAAAGCCACCCCTCAGTTTCCTACATTCCAGGAGAAAAAGTTCCAGCCTGTCCAACCTCTCCTTATAACTCAAACCTTCCGGTCCAGGTAACATCCTAGTAACTTGTTTCTGCAGTCTTTCTAGTTTAATAATATCATTTCTATAGCAGGACGATCAGACCTGCATGCAGTACTCCAAATATGGCCTCACCATTACCTTGTACATCTGCAATAAGATGGCCCAACTCCTATACTCAATGCTCTGACCGATGAAAGCAAGCATGTCAAAAACTTTCTTCATCACACTGTCTAGCTCTCACTTCACTTTCAACGAGCTGTGAACTGTATCCCTGGATCTCTTTGTTTTATAATGCTCCCCAAGGCCCTACAATTGACTGTGTAGGTCCTGCCCTGGTTTGACCCTCCAAAATGCAACATCTTGCATTTATCCAGTCATAGAAATATACAGCAAGGAAACAGAACCTTCAATCCGAATTGTCCATGCCGAATAGATTTCTTAAATTAATCCAGTCCCATTTGCCAACATGGCCCATACCCCTCTAAACCCTTCCTATTCATGTACCCATCCAGATGCCTTTTAAATGAAATTGTACCAACCTACACCATTTCCTCTGGCAGCTCACTCCATACACGCTCCACCCTCTGTGTGAAAACGTTGCCCCTCAGGTCTCTTTTAAAATCTTTCCCCTCTCACCTTAAACCTATGCCCTCTAGTTTTGAGCTCCCCCACCCTGGGGAAAAGACCTCGGTTATTCACCCTATCTATGCCCCTCATAATTTTATAAACCTCTATAAGGTCACCCCTCAGCCTCCAACACTCCAGGGAAAGTAGTCCCAACCCATTCAGTCTCACCCTATATCTCAAACCCGCCAACCCTGGCAACATCCTTGTAAATCTTTTCTGAACCCTTTCAAGTTTAACAACATCTTTCCTACAGCAGGGAGACCAGAACTGCACATGGTATTCCAAAAGTGGCCTGATCAATATCCTGTACAGCTGCAACATGACCTCCTGACTCCTATATCTAAATTAAACTCCATCTGCCATTCTTCAGCCCACCAGCCCAGTTGATCAAGATAACAGTCCCATGATACACTGATTATTTTTTTAATGGCATATATCCTCCACCATTGCCTGTAAGGACCATTGAGTTCCGGCATGCTTACTTCTGCCTTTAGGTCTCTATAGGATTATACTTGATGTTTATTCAGCATATCCCACTTCCCTTCTTCCTTGTCCCTTGATAGACACTTGCTTTGTTCATATTGTTCCGTGAATTACTCCTCCCCATGGGCTGGTTCATGTGTGGTTGCTTAATTGCGCAATGCTCACTTAGAGAAGAACTGGGTGGTGTTCACTTGTAGGTTACACAGGTCATGTAACCTTTGGAGAAATGGGACTTGGATTATTTTGAGAGACACACTAGCACCAGGTCGATTTGGGTTAAAAGGTAACTGCTTCACAGCAGCTTTTATAGTTAGGTTACAGGTTTTCACAAAACATGAGAAGGGGCAGAATTTCTTCTCTCAGGGGGTAGTAAAACTGTGGAATTCTTTAAAAACATGAGAACTAGGAGCAAAAGTAGGCCATTCAGCCCCCAGGCCTGCTCCACCATTCAATAAGATCATGACTGATCTCAACTTGCCTCAACTCCACTTCCCCGCTCACACCCCACAAGTCTTTAGCCCATCACTAGTGAAAAATCTCTCCCCTGCTTAAATTCTTTCAGTGTCTCGGTGTCCACTGTATTCCAGGGTAGCGAATTCCACAAATCCCCTTGGAGAGCAGCAATTTCTTCTCAACTCAGTTTTAAACCTGCCAGCCCTTAGCATAACACTATGACCTCTCTTCTAGATTGCCCTGCATGGGGGTAACAGCTGCTTTACATCTATTGGGTCAATCCTCTTTACGAGAGGAATGTTGGAGGTTAGGTCATTAAGTATATCCAAGGATGCGATAGTCAAATTTTTAATCAGTAAGGGAATCAAGGGGTATGGGGAAAAGGCAGGAAAGTAGAATTAGTTTGGTGATTTGGTGGTGAGTGTTTAAAATATATATTAATTTTTTTAGAAAAAGTACTCAGTTTTTCCCCAGTGGGGTTGCTTCTGGACAGGGAAAGGGTTAGAAAAAAATAGAGCAAAGTCTTTTGTGTTTTAAAGAAACAAAAATAAGAAGGAGCAGTGTTCTTAGAAAAAAAACAGCATTGTTAAAGGTTGGGACTGCGGTGGACTGCATTACTTCCATCTATAATATTAATTTAATTTAGTTCCCTCTGTTGGTTCCACATCTTTTTGCTTTTTGTTATTGTTAGTTATTTGATTAATTTGATAATAGGGTGATTAGGCGCTAGGTTTACAAAATCAAAAGAAAAGAACAAAGTGCTTTAAGATGGAGTGCATTCTCTCATCCTTCAACACTATTTTCATTTAGTTCCCTCATAGGGAAGTTGTGAAGTTCCTCATTGTGGTTTTTTCTTGTTATTGTCATACTGTACCTGGTGGGCAGTAGTCACTGTTGCTAATCGTTAATTTGATGAATTCATGGTAGCTGTTTAAAATTATAAGAAAAAAAAAATCAGAGTTCTCAGGTGATGGAGTGGATTATCTAGAGTCATAGTCATACAGCACAGAAACAGACCCTTCGGTCCAACCAGTCCATGCCGATCATAATCCCAAACTAAACTAGTCCCAATTGCCTGCTCCTGGCCCATATTCCTCCAAACATTTCTTATTTATGGACTTAGCTAAATGTCTTTTAAATGTTGTAACTGTATCTGCATCCACCACTTCCTCTTATTCACCACTCCCCACTCTCAGTCTGACTTAGTTCCCTCCCTTGTTTCCCCAAAGTTTTTGAGTTTTGTTAGTGTAATCTGATTCTTGGGTGATTTGTTAAATTGGTGGCAGCTTCTTAATATTAAAAAAAGGTGAGTTTTCCCTCTGGGTGGTGGATTGACTATAAAGAAGAGAGCAGAGTTCTTCCCTGGTGAGGTCTTGGTTTTAGGGGAAGGGTTCAGAAGGGCAGGGTGGAAACTGATTTGTGTTAAACTATAGATTAACAACAGAACTTTTTAAAATTTTTGTAAGTCTTTTGCTGCGTAATTCAACATATGGATCTTGGTGTATTACACACTCAAGATAAGTAAAGTGAAGTACCCTTTGTTAAGATCTGACAGCATTAGAAGGGAATAATCAAAATTCATAATTGAATTACAACATGCCAGACAGCCAAAGCCTCTAGCCAGCAGATTCCCCTAGACATCAGGCTTCTTGCCTCAGCGATGAGGTAGGTGAGAAGTAAATACCAGCGTGTCTCTCCCAAGCCAAGGTAAAAATAAATAAAGGTGTAATAATTCAGGAAACCTGACTGAAAAAGAACACCGTTTATTGTTGAACACTAAAATAGAGCCACTGCTCTGCTTAA